AGGGACGGCCTACTTAAAAGCAAGATGGTTTGCTAAAGCACAGGCAAACACCCCAGCAGGGAAACAACAGCTTCCTGCGAGGGAAAGAGACTTGTGGAAATTCTTAAAATAGGCCAAAGAATAGAGAGGTGCTTCTAAACGGAGGTGAGGGATTAAAAATAGCGGGCGCTGGTGGAATGTGCACAGTAGGGCCCAGGTTCTCAGGGCTGTGGGGAAACAACAGGTGTTAAATCAGAGGCACTAAGTCTTTGCTCCTGTGGTGAGGCGGCAGTGGGAACCATGGTGGGGCGATGGGGGCCCACACTGTTCTCCATTTCTCCCACGGGTTCATTCCAGATCTGCTCCAGCCGAGCATCCCAACACTTTCTGCACCGGGACTGAGTGGCCGGAGGACACTTGCAGGCTCTTCCTGTCAAGTGGTGAGACTCTGTGGAGGACCTCTCCTCCCTCCACGCCCTTGGCCATCAGGCAGGGACAGCCTTTGTCTTCTTTGTCTCCGTTTCCTCTGGGGTGGCCCTCCTCGCCTCTCACTCACATCACCACCACCATCTCCAGCCGGCCAGCAGTGAAGGCAGACCTGTGGCTCCAACTCTGCCTTGCTGCTCGGCCCGTCTGTGTGACACCTCTGTCCTGTCTTTCCCCCTGGAAGACGGACACCGCTGAGGACGCCGGGTGAAAGGGCAAGAGCTGAGATCCAGCCCACACTCTGCTTACCAGCCTTTGGAGTGGAAGGCCCCCCCCCCACCACCACCACCCGTGGCACGTGGCTTCCCAGGGTCCCTGTCCCCAGCCTTTGCCACATGGTAGCTCTCCACACACACATACCCAGCCTCCTCTTCGTTTGAAAGCCTGCCGTTGCCCTCCCTCTCCCCACCTGCTCACATGCCTGGTGAGTGGAAACAGCCATGCTAAGTGACCTGTGAGGGGGAGCCTGGCAGGCAGAGAAGAAAAGCAGAGAAGACCCAGTGCCAGCCCGAGCAGCCGACGTACCTCACAGAATTCACGTGCCAGAGCTGAGCTACGGAAACTCGGCCATCGTGATTCTCGCGGAAGTCACCAGAAAGTAGCACAGAACAGCCGGGTGAAGGCACCCCAGGCAGCTGTCAGCTAAGTAAAGAGGGTGGAGTGGGGAATGCCTAGTCCCAGGGGGCACAAGTTCAGAGGAGTGCAGGGAGACCGAGACATTGAGACATAGTCTGCAGGCAGACGCCATGAACACAGAACAAGCAGACAAGAAAGGGGTAAAGGCCTGGCCTACATCCTTCTTGGAGAGCCCAAAGGGAGAGAAGGCTGACTCCTGAGAACAAAACTCCTACAAGGCAGACGTGGTGGACATGGCGGTGCTCCCAATTCTTCATCTCCCCATCTAGCTCCAGATGGCTGGGAGGGACCCTTATCCTTGATAGCCACATACCCAGTGTGAGGAGGGTGTTATGGGGCGGGCGGGCGGAAGGGCTGTGACATCTGAGTGAGCTCCCAGCAAGTGACTTCTTCCCCAGATACATTTGCATAGGTGGGAGGAAGTGTCTCAGGTTGGCACTGGCAACATCCCAGAGGGGGGAGGCAGAGAGAGGAGGAACCAAAGTGGTCCGGGAAAGGGGGCACAGAGGTCCCTCAGGAGAGCCCCACTCTGGGGAGCCGGCCGGGGAAGAACAGCCAGCAAGTGAGCTCCAGCTTACCACAGAGCCAGCCAAGGAGCGTGGTGTGCGAACACACACAGGCGGCGAGCAAACACCCGCCTTGTCAGTCCATCACCCGGGCCCTGCCCCCCACAGCCCCACCCTACACCCCCCAGCAACATGGACAAATCTTGAGCATGGTGCAGATAGCACAGGGTCTGAGTCCCTGAGAAGCACCCTGGGTGGGGGCGGGCGCGTCTGGCAAGGACACTGGAAGGCTTGGGTTCTGGAGTCTGAGTGTGGTGGACATCTAGAAATACTGATAACAATGGGAAGGGCTGGGGAAGAGAGCGCTGGGGGCTGACTCAACCTTATCCACTTAGCATCTCCTCCAGGCAGATGAAGAGAGGCACTCCTGCCTGGAGCCAGCAGGTCGGGGAAGAGCTGGGTAATCCTGTAATTACAGAGCACACTCCAGCCTCAGTCACAAGAAGCAGAGGAACATTTTAGGGGCGTCTCCATCACCAAATCGGCATTGTTCTCAGAACAGCAGAACCACCACCCTGTGTGCTCACTCTTCTGGAGAACAGCGATGGGACTCTCACTCCTGATTCCAAGTTGAACTTGGTCGGGACTGAGGGCCACTTGGTGAAAGGACAAAAAGGTAACCCCGGGGCACAGAGCAAACATGGACGCCCAGTTTGGGAGAGCTTACAGCCTCCTGACCCCATCCACAAGCCAGTCAGTGTCTGTGACCCTGCCCATCAGAGGGAGCTTGCCAAAGAATCAGTAGTGGAAGTTGCCAGCGTATGGAGTCTGAGTGAAGCAGCTTGTCACCTGGGGCAGTCAGTAGGGGCGCTTTGTTCTGCTCCTTCTCCAGAACAGACGCACAATCTTTAACCAGCATGCCACTTTCGATGTGTAAATAATTGTGGTGAATTACTTTCCCTTTTCTTTTCGCCCTATAAAGTGATCTTTATCCTAAATTGTAAGAATTAAGAAAACACTACCTGGAAGGACAACGTTGGCCATGACTGGTGATGTGTTCAGTAACTGACAAGGTCTGAAGAGTCTGAAGCAACCCAGCAGGGGCATTCACCACACAGTGTGTGTGTGTGTGTGTGTGTGTGTGTGTGTGTGTGTGTGTGTGTGTAAATGTGGGTGTATATGTACATGTGCGTATATGTGTAGAGGGCAGAGGCCAACTTCAGAAGCTGTCCATCTTCGCTTTTGAGACATGGTCTCTCACTGGGACCTGAGGTTCAATGAACAGGGAGAGGCTGATTTGCCTGTCTCAGTCTCCCCAGCACTAGGAATGCAGGTGCATTGGCCACTACATTGCTCCCAGTTTTTCACATGGGTTCTGGGCCTTGAACCCAGGTCTTCACTCACGCTTGCACAGCAAGCGCTTTATTGACTGCATCCTCTCCACAGCCTGCTGGACGCGCTATAACCTTGTGTCTCTGCTCCCTCCTGGGAAAGCAGCCAGAGCAGCAACCACACTGTTCCCCTTCGGATTGGTGTGGACATTGCAGAGATCAGGTATGGACAGGGCCTAGTCCAATCTCTGAACCTTCCGAGGTCCTCCACAGAAATGGGATCCATGGTGAGTAACACGTATTTTCATGACTGTAGCCACATCTGTTATGATGAGTTAGGCCTGCCTGGATGTGGCCAAAGGGAGTAATGATTAACTGAACCCAAGATTCCAGACTACCGTTATTAAAAACAGCATGTTTGCACGTTCACCCTGCAACAACTATCCCGAGAATGCTCTCTCCTCCCTTAGGTTCTGGGGAGTGTACCATTTGTAAAGATAGAATCACCGTCCACTGTAACAACTACCCCAAGGACAGCTAGCTCTCCTCTTCCTTGCTCCAGCGTCCAGAAGCAGGTCGGGCCAGTTTGCCAGCTTGTGGCCAGCAGACACCTGTAACTGTTGCCTGGGCACCTGTGGGAGACGGGCACCTGCAGGAGACAGGCCCAGGGCTCCAGGGGCAGTTGTCTGAGGTTCAAAGTAACCAAGACACAGGTGCACACCATGTGGCCAGTGGGACAGGCATGGAGATTCAGCCTCCTTGTTCTTCTCCTATTCTTTCTTCTCTTCCCTCCTCCGGACTGGGAGGAGGCTTGTTATGCAAGGGGAGGCCCAGATTGCATCGAGGGAGGGGAAAGGCTCTGGGGTGGGGTGGACTCGGGTACCCTCTCTTCCTACTGGCAAGCGGGCGGCGCTATGTGGGCAATGGTATTTTGGGGTCTCTCAGACCATGAGAGACAGAAGCTTGCCAAGCAGCTCCTCCTGTGATTGAGACCTCGAGACACCTGGCTAGCAGCTGGCACAGTCCTGTGCCCTAAGCCCCACTGCTATTCCACCACTCTGACTGCTCTGACACTTTCTCCGACACCATTAAGACCTCTCCAAGGTCTGTCAACTACAAGGATATCTCTCTTTCCAAAGGAGCCTTCCAGGGCAGTGTTTGCCCCAATCGGTCTGAGCAGGTTGTGAAATGTTTCCAAGACTGGCTCCATCAGAGGCAGACCCCAACCCCAAAGGTAGTTTACCAACTGAATTCTCTCTCAGAGGCGGCAGCAGGCCCGGCGGACAGTGGGCTCCAGAGACAACCTGCCTGGGTTATTTGTGAAACCATGGCGGGACCCCGGACCTGTCTATCCTCTCTTACAACACAGAGCCAACAGTATGGGAAGGGGCCAAGCCACAAACGCTAATGGTTCTGTGGCTTTCTCTAGTTCATTCCTCCTGCCCTTGGACTTGGTTTTTCCTGAACACACGTTTCTTCCAAATCCTTGAGCGCAGTAGCAGCTGCCCCTGTCCGGGCCTGTTCCTATGCCCATCAAATCCCTCACAAGGCAGATGCTGACTTCCAAGAGCTAGCTCGGTTGAAGCCAAGATGTTGGGTTGCTGTCTCTAACTAGAGCAAAAGCGACTGAGCCAGGGGCTGCCCGCAGCGCAGCTTCGGTGGAGAGACTGTGAAAACCACCCACAGCCAAGGCGAGGGCAGCCAACTTGGCCATTGCTGGCCCGGTTGGCCATCTCCCTCCCCCCGCCCCGCTGAAGACTGCAGGCCCTCTGTGTCTTACTGTGAACTGGGGCACTGTCACTGCCCCACCAACAAAGCCTCCAGAGGCCGAGGTTGGACATTAACCACGGCTTTCATTCCCCGCTTCCCCTCCTGTAGTGATTAAACCGCTCACTGTAGGACTTGTTAGAAAGTAAAAAGACTGTGCAGTGCTGGTCTTGGCTATGTCAGAGTGAGACTTAATGATTAATGAGGGCAGCAGTGCTCCACACACCACACACCTGCACACCCCAGCGCACTCTCCTCTCCAGCACATCTCTAAGAACAGGCAGGAACACTTACCGGCCTGCGCGCCGCGGCCCACTGTGGAAATACAGGAGACGGTACAACTGGTGCAGTCGCCCTGAAGTTCTGATATTAAAAGTCTCTACCTCTGTATTGTTAACAGGACGCCAGCTGGATTGCACACACCTGGTTGAGAAAGCCGCTCCACTAGGTAACCCCAGAGCCCCAGTGGGAGACACAACACATACCCACCAGGACCCCTAAGAGACAAGAGGCCCATGGAACAGGTAAGCCTCCTCTGAAACAGGGAACAGGAAGCAGTGACTTCACCAGGCCAAGGCTGCCACAAGCACTCTCTTCCCCGAGTAACACAAACAAGGCAGGGCTTTTCCCCCCCGCTTCACCCAGGAAGAACAGGGTAACAAGAGAGCAGCTGTCTGGCTGTGCGCAGCCCCAGTTTCTGTTTCTAACAGCAAGGCAGATCCCGGATGGGAAAAGTGAGGAAGGGCCAGAGTGACTGGTTGGGAAGGAGCCAGAAGGAAACACCAGACCCCTCTCACCCCAGCTAGCTGGGCGTCATCTCTGAAACTCAGACTTAAGCAGGAATAGACAGCAAAGGTTACAAAGGTACATACGCACACATATAATTTTAGTTTTCTTATGAATTCAGTGGCCTTTTAAAAAACTGTTGGGTTTGCTTTTAAATTGAATGCTTCCAACAGGAAATTAATTCTGGTACCAAAAAAAAAAAAGTCACGTGAATCTCTGAAGACAGTGGAATCCTCTCCTAGTTGTAGTGGAAGAGAACCCTTGATTCCTCATTTTTAAGAAAATCATATGTTAAGAACTGCTCTCAACTTCACTAACACCACCGAGCCATGGGGTGTCAATGGCATGGGAGGTAAGTCACAGAAAGGGTGGACCCCACGATGATGACCAAGGAAGAGAAGCAGGTGCCATGAAGGAGGAGGCTCAGGGAGAGGACTTACTTGGGTGTGCCACTGGGCTTCCAGTACCTACAAAAGAGGTACTGTCCGTCCGCATTGACCAGGTGAGGCAGGTCCTGGTAGGGAACATTCTGTGGAGTTCGCCTGGGAGAATTTGCCTCAGGCATCCTGTAGAGGTCTTCTGGCCCTTGGAAGAAAGGTGGACATATTCTAAAGTCAGAAATACACTCATGTCCATTGGGGAGGAAAGGAAGCCTTGTTCAGCATCAGGACTGTTTTTTTTTTCTAAGCAGTTAAAAAAACACCTCAATTTGATATTTATTTTTAAAATTACATACATCTCTTGCACATCTCTCCAAGACTGAAAAATTCCATTTGTCCTTAAGAAAATGCACACTTTTATTTTTTTAAAGTGCCTCATTGCAGCCCCCTCCCATCTGTGTTTATTTTAAATCATCTCAGGAAACTTCATCTTAAAGACTGTTTTAGCTGTAATCAAGCGGAAATTACAGTCAGTTCCGTGGGTACAAAGCCCCAGCTGCAAGGACCCATCTCTCCAAAAATCTCCACGGAGTGGATTCTAGGGGGCATAATAAGTAGGTGACGCGCCCCGAGCGATTTCTCCCTTCTGAATGCCAAAGATGCCATGACAAACCTGTTTCCATTCCGTCCTGGCTTTCGCATTCCACTACCGCCACAGCCTCGAGTATCAGCGCCAGGCAAACGAGGGCTGTTCCCTCATCGCGGCCGCAGGGCAGCACCGCGGGGTCTGCGCCCTCCCCGCCTGGGCTGCAGGGGTGCGAGCTGCTCCCTCCTGCCGCTCCAGCGCTAGCTCATGTCACCACTTTTCCAGAACACACCCCTGAAGGGGTTCCGGGAGCGAGGGACAGCCGGTCCCCAGCCCGGAGCTGCTGCGAGACGCGCTCCGCGGCACCGCGCATTCGCGCAGATGCGGGTCCCCGAGCAAAGTCACCCCGATTCTCCGACAAACTTTGCCTCCTGCCCGCCCGCCCGCGACCGCTTGGGGAAGGAAGCCCAGCGGCTGTCATCTGCACACCACACACGGCGGGGACTTGGCCGGTGTGTCCCCACACCGGGCTGGGAAGATGCAGTTGACGGGCACAAGTCGGTTTGGGGGTTGGTGCGAGGGCGCGAGGGGCGCGCTCACGTGCACACGCTGACACGCGCGCACACTCGTGCGCACGCACACGCGCGCAGGGGACCCCTGGCGGCGGCTCCTATCCTGAGGCAGGGGCGGGAGGCAGTTACCCGGGCCACGAGCGCCGCTGTCACGTCCCCCGAGCACCACGCGGGTCCGGGTCTGCGGCGGGCTAGAGGCAGACAACTGCGCGCGGCCGGCTGCGCGGCGATAGGGCGCGGCGTCTGCGCCGCCACTTTATCCCCAGCCGCTCGGCGGCGGGGGCGGCCCGCTGGGTGGGGACGCGCGGGAGGCGGCGCCGGGGGCCCACGTGTGCCCGGCCCCCGGGGAGGAGCGGGGCGCCGCCCGCCGACCTGCCACGCGCCCTTCCCGGCCCTACGCGGCAGCCGCATGGGGACTGTCACGAGGCCCTGAACCGAACTAAGGGGCTCTTCAAGACCAGGCACACAGGCAAGAGCACTGACCCACACACAGGTACCCAGAGCAGAAACATGCTCACAAGTACTGAATGCACATGTTTACAGATGCACACGTGCGAAACCCACATTCAGATATCACAGGTGCGGGCACACCCAAACGGACATAAGGAGACATCCTCAGGATCCTTCCCCCAGATGTTAGCTGCACCCAGGGGCACACATGACTGCCACAGTTACTACGTGAATACGGACACACGACAGCATGGACTCACTCCCTAGACACTATGCACACAGATAAAAAACAATACACCACATGCACAGTGTAGATACAGCTCCCATTTTCAAGGAATAAGAAATTATTCTGGAGCCATTTTGAGTGACCATGGCCTGGGAACACAGACTTAGGTTACCCCAAATTTCATGTTCCAATATGGAAGCAGTTTCAGGAAGTTTTTATAGTTTTTACAGAACAGAGAAAGTCATAAATCAAGGGTAGTTTAAAATACATTAGAGGGTACACCAGAGAGGCAGGTACAGTGAGAAGGACGAAGCTTTTCTACAGGTTCAAGACGCTATCTGATGGCATTCTTAGCTTTTGGATTGGCAGAAGTCAGTTGTCCTGTTAAGTCAATAGATTCTAAAGGTTTTTATCTATTGTCACAAGATGTTAGTTGGACAAAGAGGGGCAAGGGAGGGATGGCTATTCCGGAGGGCCAGAATTTAGCCCAAGATAAGGTAATTCGCCTCTGGACCTGCAGCATTTTAACCTCTCCACAGTCCTGAAATTCTAATCAGCCAGTCTCTGCAGACAGAGATTCCTTTTAGTTTTCCTTCACAGCCAGATGCAGCTTCTTTCCGGAAGTTGTTGTACACAACAGAGATGAACAGCACACCACACACACCAAGACAGGTAAAGACACATGATATTTCCACACAAGTGCTTAGCACCCTGGAGAAGGAAACAGACGCATTGCACACACACTAATACTGCATGAAACCACTTCCCCTAGGTGCCTCCGGAGTCGGGTCCCACCAGCACAGCTGGCTATGTGGCTGTGGAGAGTCTGGAATCCAGCCCTAAATTTAGAGCCTGTCCACTGTGTCCTAAGCCTGACACCTCGGATGACAGGTGCAGAGGAGCAGGAGGGATGACCCTGACCCCTACCCACCTCCACAGGCCTTCCAGAGCTTTCTTCTTAGCCAACCGCTTTGCAAAACAGCAGTACTGAATAGTCCCACTGTCGTGGTGGCCCAGTGGTGGTGTCCACAAAAGTGAGGCTGCCACAGAGCCTGCAATCTAACTTAACTTGAAAAATAAAAGGAGGCCATCTGAGAGACAGTCTGGTTGCAGGCCATGCCGAGGGACCTAGCCCACCTGCCGTGGCCGGTCTCCAGGGCTTGGACACAGAAGGAGAGGCTAAAGGACTTCTTGGGGCTGTTTCTGTATTTTCTGGCAGGCCAGGATGGGGGGCAGCAGGCTCAGAGGAGGGGCTGGGAGCCTGGTCTCAAGGCTGGGCTGGGCCTGCTAAGCACACACCACTGTTCACTTCAGCTGCGGTTTTCTGAAAGGAAGGGCGACTGAGGAGCCGTCTCGCTCCTTGGTGCATAGCCCTGTGTGTTCACAAAAGCCAGAGCAAGCAGTTAATTATCTTACAGCACTTTTACAATTTTGGGGAGGGGGGCAAGGAGTCAGAGTTTCTGGGAACTTATCTTTTAGGAACTTAGAATGGGTGCATAGGACAAACGGAGTCTTCCTTAGCCAGCACAGTGGGACCCGGGGAGAGCAAGGGAGAAACCTAAGCTAGGTGCTTCTAATGGTAACTTCTTTTTACAAAACTACAGAGCAATATCACAGTGATATTGGATTTATTTTTATTTCTTAATTTACTTTTTTTTTTTTTGAGACAGTGTCCTACTCTCTAGCCTGGATGGCTTGGAACTCATAGACATCCACCTGCCTCTGCCTCCCAAGTGTGGGAATCAAAGACGAATGCCGCCATGCCCGCACAACATTGGATTTATACAATCAAGAAACGGTATTTCCATCCACTGAGACCCCTCACGGCCACATTTCCTTCCCTTCCCTTTCCTCTTTCCCCACAACCTCTGGCAGTCTTGCTTTGTTCTCTATTTCTAAATTTTTTGTCCTGTCAGGTTGTTTTGTAAGTGGAATCATGAGGTAGATGTGCAACCTTTAGCACTTTTGTCGTTTAGCACAAACTGGTCTATCCGGCTTCATGTTTCATGATTAGATGCACCACAGTACCACACAGTTCACCTGGTGAAGGACAGTTCATCTGTGTGGTTTCCAGTTTGCAGCTAGTTCTGAATAAAGCTGCTGTTGAACGCTGGCTAGGCACAGTGAAGCATGCTCTCCATCCCAGTGTACAGGATTGTTAACACATGATTATCTGTGGTTCAAGATCGGCCTGGTCTGCATAGCTAGACCTTGTCCCAAATAAACAAGAAAGGAAAAGGAAACAGCTTGCTTAGTTTTCTAAACAGCTGATAAAATGTTTTCCAAAGTGGGTGTATCTGTTTACATTCCCACTGTTGTTGCCAAAAAGATAATGTTTAAAGTACCTTTTAAATTTTATGCGTACGTATGTATGTGTGCCTGGGTGTATGTAATGTGTATCACATATATGCAGGAGCCTAAGCAGGTCAGGAAAGGGCATTAGGCCTCCTGGAACTGGAGTTATAGACGGTTGTGAACTGCCATGTGGATACTAGGATAACTGTTGAACCACCTCTCCACCCTCCCCTCCCTCGTTTTTTTTTAAAGCCTGACTGTTGTGCACCTTGTGTTTTTATCTGCATTTACGTGATAGCTTATGCTGCCGAATGCCTTTCCATGTGCCTGTCTTCTCTGTCTCCTAGTAAAATGCCTCATGGTGCCCTCTGACCACGGTCTTATTGAGTGTTGTTTGACAGTTGAGTTCTGGGTGTTCTGGGTGTATTGTAGATGCCAGTCCTGTGTCAGAGGTGTGATTGGCAAGTCGTATTCTCTCCTGGTTTGTAGTTGTCTCTTCAGCCTCTTCAGAGGGTCATTTGCAAAGCAAAAGCTTTCATTTGGGTCACAGACAAATTGTTAGTGTTTGCTTTAATGGATCATGTGTTTCGTGTTAAGTCTTTGCCTAGTCCTTCATTTGAGGAAATTTATTCATATTCAGAGTTATATTTTTTATATTTTATGTTTAACCCATTTACAGTTAATTTTTGTTAGGATGTGAGATTTAGTCCAGAGGTTTTTGTTTTGATTTTGGTCCACATATCAGTTGCTCCTGCACCTTTAGATGGGGGACAGTTTTCTTCCTATGAATTGTTTTTCCACTTTTCTCAAAATTCGGCTGGTCTTTCTGTATGAGTCTGTTTC